GAACTCCAGACCCAACCAAGTGCCATTATTGATCGACGGATCGTGACTCGACGACAACGACCCACTACTAAAGTGCTAATACAATGGGTGAACCTACCAACAAAAGATGCCACTTGGGAGAACTATGACGATTTGAAGATCAAATTCCCAAAATTCATGAATCGTCAACTTCGAGGATAAGGCTGATTTGAAGAGGGCGGGGGTCTGTTAGGACTCTAGCTAGGAGAGTCCTAATTGAGAGGGACATTCATATAAAACCTACCTAAGCCGACCCCTATTAAAGAAGTGAAGAGGCCGGCTAGGGTTAGAAGGTTGTTTCTTAGAGAAGAATTAGGAGTTGTAAAAGAATAGGAGTCTTGAGTAGAAGTCCTATTAGGAATTGGTTAGAAGTAGGAGTCTTGAGTAGGAGTCCTATTAGGAGTTAGGGTTTAGAAACCCTATAAATAGCCATGTATTCCTTCTCTTTTGATAAGCAATAGATGAATCTTTTCTGCAGTCTTTGAGCAACAACTTGGAGGGAGGAACCCCTGTAGAGTTACAACGAGGTCGATCCCCTAAAGAGATCAACCCTAAGTTTCGAATCTGCAATGGTTCTAACAATAAGACGTATTTTAAGGATTATAATAAATAGTAATATGTTTAAAAAATATAAAAAAGTATCTATTAATAATAAATAGTCTAAAAATATTTTTTTTAAAAATAATATTATCATTAAATTTTTAAAATATAAATGGTCCAGAACGAATTCCTATAAGCCAGTCTTCCACAGATATTATTATTATTATTATGTTAAAGTTTCTAATCAACCATTTCTTGTCCTCTAAACGAACGGCGCACCAGAGAGGATGCGTCGGGAACCTTCTCTCACCTTTCCTGGAGAAATCCGCGGGCAACTGCGTGTTTCCCACGGCGTGTTTCCAACTTGCCGTTCTTATACAGCACCGACCGACCTTCCACGGGCAACTGCGTGTATCCCACGGCATGTTTCCAACTTGCCGTTCTTATGCAGCAACGACCGACCCTTCCCACCGATTCGTTCTTGTCGGCCACAACTAAGAAGGAATTCCATCTCAGCCGTTGCTTCTTTCCTTTACACTCTGATCTGGATCGTTGGCTGCCTCGCTTGAAATCTATAAGTGACGGGACTCCCTGCCCTTCCTTGCCACCGTTGTTTTGGTTTCTGGTATGCGTCGTTCCGTGTCTCCTTAGCCACCCGTTGATCGTCGATGGCGGTGCACCCAATTCCTCAGCCGTCCGTTTTTCGTTGATTTCGTTTTCGAATTGGATGATCTGTTCTCGATAGGTGGTGCATCCAAAGCCTTTTAATCGTGTGATTTCGGATTCGGGCACTTGAAATTGGTATTGAGCGAATCGGAAGATCTGATTTTGATGGATGGTAGATCAAAAGCCTTTCAAATCTTGTGGTTTACGTTATTGAGCAGTTGAAATTGGTCTTGAACGAATTGGGTAATCTATTTTCGATCGATGATGGATCGGAAAATTTTGATATATGTCGTTTTATTTTTCGAGCACTTCAAACACGAAATTGGATGATCTATTTTCCTAAGAAATACGGAAGGTTGAGAGGTTAGGAGTTTCGACAGCTTCTATTGGATTTAGTTGATTCCGATTATTATTTTAATTGGATGATTTTTTCCTTGCGTTCTCTCAGGGGACTTCACAAGTTGCAGGATTTTTTATGCTCCTAGTTTTTTGAAAGATTAAATTATCCTAACTCGCTAGTACGATGATCCCAAATTATCGATCTCTCCTTTGTGGCAGATTTTATATATATCATCGACGCGGCTGGTGGTTGGTGAGGCTGTGGTGTTTATATGGTTTTTATCTGTATGGAGCCCACACTGAGCCTGTGATGAAGATTGTTAAGGATCCTCTGGTTTCCGTTGAATGATAAAAATAGGTTTTCGATTAGATAGTGGTTTATTTAAGGGGTTTCTTTGCTGTGACACACACCGCTTATTATCATGGATGCAGGTCTTCAGAAATGCTCTGAACAATGGATGTGTCCGGTTTGTGCTGGTTTAGTCGGCCCTCGTTACTTTCAACTATCATTTGTTGTACTTATGTGCACAAGTCAGTTATTTTGATACGGTTCTCATCAAAATATGGTTGTTTGTTTTATTTGTTGTGCAAGGGAAAGCTGATGGACATCTAGTTTTGCATGGGCATGTGACAGTATCTTTTTGAAAGAGAGATGTGATTGTTTTGCTCTCTTTTGGTATTTGGTTTTAATGGAAGAGGTTCCATTAACTTCTCATTTTTTCAGCATTGGCAGTTTAATTTGTTGATTATTTTCCCTGTCTACTACTTCCGTTGGCATGCTTGGTACATTTTATAAATTTGCACTTTTGATGTGAGTCTTTCTCTATGTTTTCTGAATGTTAAATTTGCACATTTTATAAATTTGCACTTTTTATAAATTTGCAAATTTATAAATTTGCACTTTTTGTTTGCAGTTGCAGAAGGATCAGCATTAGCCATAAGTCTGGTAAATAGACATGGTTACTGACCTTTCTTGGATTGTATTTGGTATGAGAAGTGGGTTTACATTTTTGGTAAGGTTAGTTTAGATTTAGGAGTCCAAATTATTCCCAAAAATTCGAGATTTTATGTTTTTATCCAAATGTTAATTGTTCTTGTTGTCATGAATTTTCAGCAGTTACTTGCTGGACTAGTCTTATTAGAAGATCATTTGAACTTCTCATTTGTCTCTTCTGGGATTCTTTGTCAGATATCTACTTTGCAGCTTAGATGTCTTTTTGTTTTAACCTGCTTCTGGTCAGGTCATGAGGTATTTGGTTCCAGTTATCTTGTAGATGTTTTTTGAGTATGATGATGAATCATAGGAAATACGGAAGATCGAGAGTTTAGGAATTACGGCAGCTTCTATTGGTTCTAGTTGATTCCGATTATTATTTTAATTACTTGAGGTTTTCCGTTGCCAGAGGACTGCACAGTATTTATGGTTTATATGCTTCTAGTGCTTTGAAAGATTGATTGTTATAACTCATGAATACCTTGATCCAGAATTCTCGAGCTCTCTTTTGTGGCAGATTCTATATGCAGTTGGTGAGGCTGTGTTGTGTATGTGGTTATTATCTGTATGGAGCCCACACAGACCCTATGATGCAGTTTGTTCAGGATGCTCTGGTTTCCTTTGAATGATTAAAATAGGTTTTCCGTTAGATTCTGTTATATTTTAGGGGGTTCTTTGCTGTGAAATACACTGCTTATTATCATGGATGCAGGTCTTCTGAAATGCTCTGAACCAGAGTCTGAACAATGAATATGTCCAGTTTGTGCTGGTTTAGTTGGCCGTCATTACTTTCAACTATTATTTGTTGCACTTGTCTGCACAAGTTGGTCATTTGATACGGTTCTCATCAAAATATGGTTGTTTGTTTTTATTTGTTGTGTGCAAGGGAAAGGAGATGGACATCTATTTTTGCATGGACATGTGAGTAGTTTTTTGAAAGAGAGATGTGTGTGTTTTGCTACTTTCCTATGGTATTTGGTTTTAAATATGCTCTAACCCTTTGATCAACTTTGCTGTGCCTGTTGTATATCTCTAGTTGGATGTAGACGGGTCTCAAGTAAGAAGTTCCATTAACTTCTCATTTTTTCTGCACTGGCTGTTTAATTGTTGTTTATTTTCCCTGTCTGCCACTTCTGTTGGCATGCTTGTGACATTTTATAAATTTGCACTTTTGAAGTTATTCGTTCTCTTTGTTTTCTTAATGTTCTATTACTAGTGTTTTTGTGTGCAGTTGCAGAAGCATCAGCATTAGCCATAAGTCTGGTAATTAGACATGGGTACTGTCCTTTTTTGGATTGTAATTGGTATGAAACATAGGTTTTACCTTTTTGATATGGCTAGTTTAGATCTATGAGTGCAAATTATTCACGATTTTTTGGGATATTATGTTTTTGTCCAAATGTTAAGTATTCCTATTGTTGTTAATTTTCAGCAGCTACTTGCATGGCAAGTATTATTTGAAGGTCATATGAATTTCTGATTTGTCTCTTCTTAGATTCTTTGTCAGAATTGTAATTTGCAGCTTAATTGTCTTTTTTTTTTAACCTGTCTTGAGGTATTTAGTTTCAGTTATCTTGTATATGTTTTTTTAATATGACACTAAATAATAAGAATTACAGAAGATTGAGAGGTTAGGAGTTCCGACAGCTTCTATTGGTTATAGTTGATTTCAATTATTATTTTAATTGCTTTAGGTTTTTCCTTGCATTCTCTCAAAGGACTTCACAATTTGCAGGATTTAGGGTTTTTATGATCCTAGTGCTTAGAAAGATTAGATTGTCATAACTCGCGAGTACTGTGATCCAAAATTCTCGAGTCTCTTTTGTGGTAGATTCTAAATGTATCACTGATGTGGTTGGTGATGCTGTGGTGTTTATGTGGTTATTATCTGTGTGGTGCGCACACAGACCCAAAGGTGCAGTTTGTTAAGGATGCTTTGCTTTCCGTTGAATTATTAAAATAGGTTTTCCATTAGATAGTGTTATCTTTAAGGGGTTTCTTTGCTGTGACATACATTGCTTATTATCTGGTTTGAACAATGGGTCCTCGTTACTTTCAACTATTATTTGTTGCACTTATGTGCACATGTTGGTGTTTTGATATGGTTCTCATCAAAATATGGATTGTTTTTATTTGTTGTGTGCAAGGGAAAGGAGATGGACATCTAGTTTTGCATGGGCATGTGACAATAGATTTTTGAAAGAGAGATGTGAATGTTTTGCTACCTTCCTATGGCATTTGGTTTTCAGTATGCTCTAACCCTATCATCAACATTGCTGTGTCTGTTGTTTATCTCTTGTTGGATGTAGAAGTTTCTCAAGGAAGAGGTTCCATTAACTGGCTGTTTAATCGTTGATTATTTTCCCTATCCTACTACTTTCGTCAGCTTACTTGGTACATTTTATAAATTTGCTTTTTTGAAGTTAGTCTTTCTCTATGTTTTCTGAATGTTCTATTCCTAGTGTTTTTGTTTGCAGTTGCAGAAGCATCAGCATTTCCCATAATTTTGGTATTTAGACATGGTAACTGACCTTTCTTGGATTGTATTTGGTATGAAACAATAGATTTTTCCTTTTTGACAAGGCTAGATTAGATTTGGGTGTGCAAATTATGCACGAATTTTTGAGATATTATTTTTTTGTCCAATTGTTAATTATTCTTGTTGTTGTGAATTTTCAGCAGTTACTTGCTGGACAAGTCTTTTTAGAAGATCATTTGAATGTCTCATTCATCTCTTCTGGGATTCTCTCAGATTTCTACTTTGGTTAGGAGTTATGACAGCGTCTATTGGTTGAAGTTAATTCTGATTATTATGTTAAGCACTTGAGGCGTTTCCTTATGTTCTCTCAGAGGACTTCACAATTTGCAGCATTAATATTTTTTATGCTTCTAGTGCTTTGAAAGATTTGATTGTCATAACTCACGAGTACTGTGATCCGAAATTCTCAATCTCTTGTGGCAGATTCTATGTATATTATCAATGTGGTTGGTGAGGCTGTGTTGTTTATGTGGTTATTATCTGTTTGGAGACCACACGAAGCCCATGATGCAGTTTGTCAAGCATCCTCTGGTTTCTGTTGAATGATTAAAATAGGTTTTCCATTAGATGGTGTTATATTTAAGGGGTTTCTTTGCTGTAACATGCTGCTTATTATCATGGATGCAGGTCTTCCGAAATGCTCTGAACAATGGATGCATCTGTTTTGTGCTGGTTTAGTTGGCCCTCACTACTTTCAACTATTATTTGTTGCACTTAATGTGCACAAGTTGGTCATTTGATACAGTTACTCATCAAAATATGTTTGTTTGTTTTTATTTTTGTCAAAAGGAAAGCATATGGGCATCTAGTTTTGCATGGGCACGTGAGTGTTTTGCTTTGGTCCAATGGTATTTGGTTTTAAACATTATCTAACCGTCATCAGCATTGCTGCATCTGTTGGATATCTCTACTACTCAAGTCAGCAAGCTTGGTACATTTTATAAATTTGCGCTTTTGAAGTTAGTCTTTTTCTATGTTTTCTGTATGTTCTATTCATAGTGTTTTTGTGTGGTGTTCCAGAAGCATCAGCATTAGCCATATGTCTGGTGATTAGACATGGATACTGACCTTTCTTGGGTTGTATTTGGTATTAGATATAGGTTTTACATTTTTGATAAGGCTAGTTTAGATTTAGGAGTGCGAATTATGAGTGAACTAGATATTTTTTTTCGTCCAAATGTTAATTATTCTTGTTGTGATGAATTTTCAGCAGTTCCTTGGTTGGCAAGTCTTATTAGAAGCAAGCTTCGCGATTTCGAATCATACCGCCTGTATCGGACAGTATGTACCGGGCGATACGCGGACTGCTCGCTACTGAGCGGTCCACTCGATATAGTCCCGTATTAGACGATACAGGACTGTTTCGGGCGGTAACGGTTGAAATTTCGATCATTACCGTCTACTATTGGGCGGTATTAACCTAGCTATGGCGAAGTTGAGGGAGAAGCATCGAAGAAGGAAGAAGGAGAGGGCGTTCAAAGAAGAGGGAGAAGAAGAGAAAACCATTTCCATATTGGGTTAATTGCATCCATTGGTATTCATGTTTGGTTGTAGAGGTTGTCCGCCGATTTTGTTGAATTTTCTTGAATTCCATAGAGCCATGGTTTCCAATGGCCTGATGGCTGTTCATTTATTGCCAAAATGCAGTCCAACCATTCCACGGAATTACATTTGGATGGACATTATTTTCACTTTGACTTTGTGAACCTTTGGCTCTTAAAAGTACTCTTTTGGGTTTTTACTACAATAACAACAACTATAAAATCGTAAGTCCTGATTATTTGGGCTCGGCTACTTGGATCTTTTGCCATCATTGAAATATGTAAAAAGTTATATGTTTAGTTAAGTTTAAAGTATTTAAATCTTTATTTATAATTTTTATTAAAGTCTTTTTAGGTCTTTCTCTACCTCTTCTCATACTACTAACATATTAATTATTTTATGTTTTTTAACTACCACTCTTTTGGGTTTCTCTTCTTAATTAACTTCTGTTTCTCTTTTGAATCATGTTTCCTTATATCTTGTTTGGAAGTTAGGACATGGTAATGATGGCTCATACAGGTACTTAATTGCCATAAATGAGTTTTGGATGGTGGTCTTGGGTTATGATAATTGTCCTTGATTGTTATATGGATTTGTGAAGCAATTCTATACCTGCAAGTGATGGCTTTGAATAAAAGTGTTTTAAGATGCATTGTTTCTCTTTCCATGTATCAGTTTGGAGGTACAAACATGCCATGTTCTCTTGATTTTTTTCCTTGAAACTCATTCCATATTGCTGATCTTTAGTAGAATTGTTATCTTCGTGGGCTGAAGTACCATTTTGTTGGTCATTATATTTGTTGTTAGTCTACTTGAAGCTTGTTTTGGGAGCTACCTATCACATTTTTCTAATAGTTCTGTTATTTTTCTAGACATGGAGGTTTTGGAATATCATGTTATTAACTAAAGCATGGAGCCTTCACATTGTAAACAAAGGAGTCTAACTTTTGTCAAGGTATCTTCTTGTAGAGACCCAATTGCAGATCGAATATTTCATTGATGAAGATTCTTACAACCATATTTGATACAAACAAGATTTCAAGATTATTGTTTTGGTTAGCATGAAGAATAGAAGTTCTATCTGCACTCATAGTCAAATATTTTGCTACAGCTTCTTCTTGTTCTTCTGGAGGGAGATGTCTTTTGAAAGGGGGTCAAAAAAATCTCAAATTGTTTGCATGTTGTTTTCGATTGTATAGACAAATATGTTAAGTTCTAACGCAATCAACGTTAGGTCTTTGAGTTTATTTTTTTTAGTATGGATCAAAATGTTATAGATGAACTTTGTGATGTTATAATGATGGTTACTGTGTTTCTTTGAGCTATAGAATTTTGTTGCCAATTAGCCATGTGTTTATGTAATTTGATATTATCCTTGGTGGGAATGACTTGTCAGAGATTAGATGAACTTTGAAAGATGGATCAGTTATGACTTGCAGCTCCACTTTTTCACTTCTATCATGTGATGTGCCAGCTTTTGTTGTAGTGAACTAGTGATCATATTTTTTAGTTACTGGTCATCTGGCATACATTGGTTTGGATATTTTCTTCTAATGGGTTTTGGCTTGTCATTGAGAAGTTCTTCTGGCATGCTTTCTTTTGTGAGGGTAGATCGAAAATTTTGCTTACCCTTCCTTTGGATCTTCATTTTGGTTGCAATATCCAGACAATGGTAAGAGCTTTTGCTGGATCCTGTGTTTGATGCAAGATGGGCTTATCCTGGCTTTGATAAGAACTGTGGTTGCAATATAAGTTACAATTTCTTTGCTTTTCTCAGGCATATTTTCTTCAAGTTTGATATGCAGTTTTTTTGTTGAACATATATGTTGCATTTGAAATTTGTTTTGGGAAAACAAGAATTGAGCAGCTCGGCATCATATAGATAATATTTTTGAGGGAAAGGAGTATCTATTTTCTTGGATCAACCGAAGAAACAGTTTGGGTTGGTTCTTTTATTCTGGTATTCTGAAATTAGTGAATGAGTTCTATGATGAAGCAAAGATGCACAATACCAGGAATCAAGATTGCAGAACCATATCTTCATTGTATGATGGTCAATCTTTTCTTCATTGGATTGCAGACATGAAAAGGGATATTTCCTGTATTTATCCACTTTTAACGGAGGACATAGAATGATTCACCTTTGTTAGTTTCCTGCAATATGACCATGTAGTTGGAATATCTACAGGAAGCCTGTACTGTTTATATGTGTTGGGAGTATCAAAACAATGGGTGTTTTATGCACTACAAGGCCTCTTGCCTTTCCCTTTATTTGCATTGGCCTTCAGATGTTGATGTGTTATGTGATTATATGTGAATTTTTGGGTGTCTTACACAAAAAATGATGGGTATCCCATGTCATGCATTGTCTTTTCATTTCTTCATATTGGCAAGACATGAGAGTGTCTTGGTTGTAGCATTTGGTAATGTGTATTTATGCTAGATTTATTTTCAACTACCTAGATTAGCAAGCACTTTATATGTTATATTTATGTCTCTGTTCTTGTCTAGTGAATTCATCATGGAAATTTTATATTGCTTTCTTACATCTTTGGGTTTAGATTCTTTTGTATTCTCAATATTTGCCATGTACTTTATATGTGATACTTATGCCACTTTTGATTGGTTTTCATCCCCTTTTCTGAATCATCATCCATTCCATGCTAAAGAGTCACAAACTTTGTTTTAATGTTGTATGGTGATGTCATTTTATTCCCTTCGTATGTATAATCTTGAATTTTTGTCCATTCCAACCAAAGAATTGAATCTCAAGTATCAGATCTATACTAGTTCAGGTCGAAGAATTGAATATCGAGTATCAGACCTATACTGGTTTAGCGCATACTGGTATGGGTCTAAACCATACTGGCATCTTATTGTAACAAATTTAAAAAAAATATAAAAATAAAAATAAAGTTTAATTTCTATTTTTATTGATGATGAACAATTGGTCATTCATTGTTTCGCTATAGCTAACTGTGGTTATATTGATTTTCATGTAGTTGTGTTTAATTTCCCAGGGTTACGACTGAATTCTTGAATTGTGATTTTAGTATTAGTAAGGAGTTGAGGATGCAGGATGGATGGAATGAACGGATCTATCATTTTAGGACAGCAAAAGTTGAATGGGTAGAGCACTACAACGAGTGTTCTGATAATTAAGCCATGTTTTATGGATCAAAAGTATTTAATGGTTAGAGATAATAGATTACTTAATTATTGTAGGTCTTTTTTGTGAATGAGATGATAGTATAATAGATTATACTAAGCTAAGGATATTCCAGTGCCAGTAAGAATAGCATGCTTATTTTGTGTACACAATTGAATTTCTTTTCTAATGGGGGTTGTAGTTGGGTACTTCTGTTCTGCTTGTGTATAGAAGCAGGGTGAATCAATGCCAATCTGAACTACCTGTTCAAGTGTGTAGCCCCTTTTTTTTTCTCATGCATAAGTCCATTGATATTTTCTATGATTTCAAAGATGATTAGTTTATTGCATATCAGTACAGATATAGTAAAATTAGTGATACATATGTTAGTGAAACAATGATATATCTTCACCTTTTGAAACTTCTTATTTAATGTTTCACTTTGTGGAGTCTTAAGCATTCTAATCTTATGATTTAATTAATTCTTACTGAAATTGATGTTTTCATTGCCTACTGAAATACAATTTTCTATGCGAACTTCTTATGTAATGTCTGTGTGCTTCGAGTCAATAGTGCAAATTCTATTTTCTATTTGAACTTCTTATGTAATGTCTGTGTGTTTCGAGTCAATAGGGCAAATTCTTTAAGCATTCTAATTTATGTTTGTATTACTAATGTGCTTATTGGTATAAAATTTCTCTATCATATCATTTGTTTGTCACTAGAGGTAGTGATGTGGAGATGTGATGGATAATACAAGAAGCTAGAAACTTACATCTACTTAGTGTTCAATTTCATGGAGGATATTACCAAATATTTTCTACTAGTGTTTTAACTGAGCAGCAAAACCAAATATTTATGTATTGACTAAGCAAAAGATCTTTAAGAGCAATCAACATGATTTTGCTTCATGTATTGGTCATACAATTTGCTGTAATCTCTACTTGCCTCTCTGTTGGAATAAAATGATGCCACCTTTGATGGGTTTTGTCCTTGTTCTTGGAATTATTACCCATTTTCTGTGACACAAACTTTGACACAATGTTATATTGGTGATGTCATTTTATTGCCCTTGATGAGTATTATCTTGAATTGTTGTCCATTTCAACAATACTTGGATCTCAAGAGTCAAAACTTGTACCGGTTCAGGTCGAAGAATTGAATCTCGAGTATCAGACCTATACTGGTTCAGGCCCACACTGGTATGGATCTAAACCATACTTGTATCTTACCATACACAACGAATTTCAAAAAGAAGAAAAATAAAATTGTCTTGTCTATACTCTATTTAAAAGTTTTTTTCTTCTTAGCATATATGATCAAACAAGGATAGAAGAGAAGGCAAATAAAAACACAAGTTAAAGAAGATTCACAACTATTATAATTGGTAGATGTAGAAAAATGAATAAATATTAGAGAAGAATAAAGAGAAGAGGTACAAGATGAAGCAACGAGACTGAGACAAGATGGAGAAAAAAAACTTAAAAGAGTACATTTTTAATAAGCCAAAGTTTCTGAATTATGTTTAAAGTACAACAGAATTGTCAAGAAGGAAAATTTAGATGGATAGGCCAAAGAGGTTAAAAACCAAAACAAGTTGCTTCTGAACATTTGGTACATGTCTGAGTAACTTATTCTAAACAATGCAATTTCTTTCACAGTTTAGTTATTGAATAGTTTTAACAAAACTATTGCTACAACGTAGGAACATCAACTATTGACATAGTTTACACGCTTATCTGTGTTGTCTGACTGATGAATATATAATGTGCAACAAGAAAGTAGTGAACAAACCAGGTGTAATGCCTACTAGAAAAACCAAGGTGAATGCCCTATGTTATGTGTGGGGCTACGAAATTTGCTAATATAGTGCCACACATGATGTCAGATAAGTTAAGCACCATGAACAGATAACCTATATTGGCCCTCAGAAGTCAAAATATCAATGATCTAGTTTCTCTATGAATTTTGTGTACTTTTTCATCTTGTTACTTTTCGGTTTTTGGATCGAAAAAAAGAGGGACTAAGCAGTAAAATGACATATCAATGGACCATTAGGCCCTCATCATTAATAACAGACAAATGATCTTATTCATGTTACATCTCTTGAGAGTAATCAGTCCAAGTTTCATTGTTTAAGGAATAGCACTCTGCTTTTTCTGGTATTGACATGTTTAAGAGCTGCGATGTTGTTCATGGGGTAAAAGCACCAACTTGCTGTTGTTTCAGTCCTTTTGTGTATTTTGGTATCACTAATTAATCTTTGTGGTTACTATCTAGTTTCTTTTGTTGTTTTGGACTGAAAAAGAGTGGGACTTAAGAGTAGAACAATAAATCAATAGATCATTAATAATGGACAAATGGTCTTATTTATGCTACATCTCTTGGTTGCAATCAAACCAAGTTTAAGGAATAGCACTCCGCTTTTTCTGGTATCCACATGAATATGTTTAAGACCTCTTATGCAAGAGCCTTGTTGATTCATGGGATAAAAGCACCAACTTCCTGTTGTTTCAGTCCTTTTGTGTTTTTTGGTATCACTAATTATTCGTGGTGGTTACTAAGCTACGTAGTTGATTTTTTTCCTTTCGCCTTATTAGGATTCTCTGGTATTGACTGAGATGTGGTCTTTGATGAACTTATACATCATCTCATAGTTTCATTATTGTTGTACAATTCTATTTTTATGAACTTAGAAGGTCAATCAGAGAGCTGTATCAATAATGATTGCTGCAAGAAAGGGTTTAGAGTTTGCAAATATTTGGAACATTTGTTGTGAAAGCAAAGCTAATCAGTAAAGGTAACATCTGGGCTGTTGACCATAATTGTGTTTGAAACACTAACTATAAAAGGAAAGGTGAATTTGGGTTTTTTAGTTTCTTTAGGCGATACTTGGTCTCCGCAAGATGAGTTCTTGTTTCTTCAGTTGATTCTTAGTCTGCTCAGGATGAGTTCTAGTTTTTTCAGTCAGTTCTTAGTCTGTTCAAAATGAGTTCTATATGATGTATGCAAATTGTTGGGAGTCCGGACATGATAGTTTCATGAGTTTAGCTTATTGGTTCATCAATTTCATACATGAAATGGTTCTGGATTTTGGATCCTCATTTTGTCACAGTCATAGGTAGGCTCTGGTATTATACTAATTGATTAGGTTTTAATGTGATGATACTCTTCTGGAAGGATGCTCTTACTTAGAATATGGGCTTTTGAAATTGAAGAATGTAATTGTTGTGATTGGTCAAAGATGGCTTTAATGTGCTTATACTCTTTTGAAAGGGAACCATACTCTTAGCTAGAATATGGGCATTTGCAATAGAAGAATGTAATTGTTGTGATTGGTTGAAGAGGCTTTCTTATAATAACATGAAATTAGTAGGATTGGCTTCATGTACGATGCCAATTAACAGTAGCTTTTAAAATTGAAGAATGTAATGGTTGTGGCTGACTGAAGTTAGTAAAATTCGTTTTATTTTTAGGAGGAAAGCCAACTATCATTCTTTTTGCAGTCCTGAAAAAGTTCGTCTTGTTGGGCTTTTGGAGTTGATCTAGTGATTGCTGGACAACCATCAGTATCTTGCAGTATAAATTAGCTTATGTATAAGGTTCAGACATGCTAGCTGATGGTTTTATCCTCTATAGAAAAGAAATAGGAAAGATATGCTAGCCTTGGTTTCATTGTTATTCTATTTACATGTCCTTTCTTTGTGGGCAATCTGAGCATTGGTATTGGTAGCAGATCATGTAAATGTGAGGTTGTGCAGGAACTTGGACAACTACTACTCATAACTGGGTTGAAGCTTTCTATATAGTGTTGATGACATGAGGTTCTTTGTTTGGTTGATTGGTTGACTGATCATCACAATGGCACTGGAATAGCTGGCTCAATTTGTTTTCTAGTGGATGTTGCATGAGTTGGTCATTGAGTTATTAGTTGGTGCTGGCCATTTTAGTTAGTAAATGACAGATTAAGCATGATGTTGATTATGGTTCGACTGGTTACCATACAATAGCACTGGAACAGTTTGTTGGTGCAGATGTGAAATAATGACCTACCATGTTATGTTATGTTTCTTTGTTCTTATTTCAATTGTTTTATTTACATTAAGTTCAGTTTGAAAGGGTTTTGTTAATGGTATAATTGGAATGATAACATAATTGTAATGGTGTATTCCTTTGCACTTAACTTAGTGAGTTTTGCATAAGGTTTGGTTTGATAGGGTTTTTTATGGTGTACTTAAATATATTGTCATTCCCAATAATCACTCCACTGATTGCCATATATAAATTAAGTGTGTACTTAAATATATTGTCATTCCCAATGTTCTTATTGACAGCAATATTTTCTCTACTTCCTATTTATTGTAACCCCCCGTTATTGATCCAAGGTCTAGAGGTGTCAAACTTGTCTTATCAATGTCTTATTTTGTTTGTATCTTATCGTTGGTTGGTGTTAGGACTCTAGCTAGGAGAGTCCTAATTGAAAGGGACATTCATGTAAAATCTACTTAAGTCGGTCCTTATTAAAGAGGTGAAGAGGTCGGCTAGGGTTAGGAGGTTGTTTCTTAGAGAAGAATTAAGAGTTGTAAAGGAATAGGAGTCTCGAGTAGAAATCCTATTAGGAGTTGGTTAGAAGTAGGAGTCTTAAGTAGGAGTCCTATTAGGAGTTAGGGTTTAGAAGCCCTATAAATAGTCATGTATTCTTTCTCTTTTCATAAGTAATAGATGAATCTTTTCTGAAGCCTTTGTGCAGCAACTTGGAAGGAGGAACCCCTATAGAGTTTCAAGGAGGTCGATCCCCTAAAGAGATTAACCCCAAGTTTAGAATCTATAAGGGTTCTATCACCTGGTATCAGAGCAACGTTCTTGGCATCTCGTTGCCCTTCCACAGCCATCGATCAATCCACCATAGTCGCCTAAAGTAATTCCCACAATTGCTTAAAAGATCGTCGTCAAATTCTGTCGTCATCTCCATCGCGAATCATCGTTTGATCTCCCCGTGAATTACAATAGGTTTTGATTTTCTACCCTACTACTGCTATAATTTAGTTATCTTTATTTAAAAATCTCAAAAAAATTGTTCCTATATTGTTACATAAATTTTTCGTCATAAAATTTTCATCTTTGCGACGAAAGATACATTGCAGAATTCCAATTGCATAGCACTATCTGTTTGATCTTGCTACTGTGTTTTTCTATCTAAATTTTTACGAAATTTTTATGACATCTTTGACATTTCCTAACAGCATATTTCCTTGTAGTTTTGTCAAAAAAATTCTCAATATAAATCATTGATCTTTTATGTAAAATCTACTATACTTGAAAATTTGCATTGTAAAATTTCAATCGCATAGCACTAATCTTGATACTATGTTTTTTTTGTCCAAATTTTTACAAAATTTTTATGATAGCTTTGACACTTCCTAACAGTAGATTTCTCTTTAGTTTCGTTGAAAAAATCTTAATATAAATCATTGATCTTTTACGTCCAATTTGATACACTTGAAGACTGTGCTATAAAAAAATTTTAGCCGCATATTATTGCCTTAACCCATTTATTTGCAATCTTTTCTGAACAAAATTCGTAGATACTTCATAGATTATCTTGGCTTTTATCTAAGATTGATCTATTGAGGAATTTATCTCTAAAAATGATTGTGTTGTAAATTTTTGTTCCAAGCCGCTGAAATTTTTCGACGAGAATTCTGCTATCGCAGCTTGTACCAATTTCCTTGTTGTTGTATTGTCAAATTTTTTTTTGATTAAATTAGACATCCTTGCTATCATATAAACTATGATTTTACTGTCAATTCCCTCCTCAATTCTCTTTTGTTTTTGGTGAAAATTTTATTGAGAAATCGTTGTTTCTTCAATGACAATTTTGCTTTTACAAGATAGCACAAACTTGCTGCAACTTTCACTGATTTTTATTAAACCTTTACTGCCATCAATCACAGATCCAAAATTTTCATCCACAGTCCTAAAACTTCACCAAAC